GGGACTGTGAACAGTGTTTTTAAAAATATGATTTACACTATTCAATCACATCATCCACACCCAGGAAATGAACAGCACAGGGCGACATCATGTTTTCCACTGAAAATAAAAACATAATGTGATTTTTTTTTTTTAATTCACGAAAGTCAACACATTTGGTCGTGTGGGATGATTAATAACCTGTTGTTGTTGTTGTATAACACGATGATTAAACATGGAACAGAATGAGTATATGATTATATTATTATTATTATTATTATTATTATATTATTATTATATTCTATCTAAATTGTCTAATTGATAGCAATGAGATTACACTCCACTGACAGTTTGCTCAAAGTTTTCACTCCACTTCACTGTTTCTCAGATATGTCAGTCATGGTCCTACCTGCAGCAGTGATGATCCACGCGCACAGACAAACTACAGGACAGAGCACAGGTTTGAGAAAAGCCATTTTACAGCAATAACCAAGTTACTTCTCCCTGTGCTCTACTTTTTTGCCATAGCTAAAGTCTAGCAGAAGTTAACCAGGGGATCCGTTGCCGTGGAGATAAGCAGATCCGTTTCTCTGTTGTTCAGTTGTTCCTCCTGTGTGAAGCTGTTCAGTCTGAGTCTTGGGGCGAACAGAGGGGCTCTTCAGGGTTCCGCCTGGGTTTTGCCTGCTGGTCCCTCCCACATGCCTTTTCTTAGATGTGGTCATCCACTGTAAGGTATTAAATTACAATTTCCTCTGAATACTTTTATGAGTGGTCATGAACTTGCACCACACTGACATTGATACTCTGTTGCAGTGTAAAGAGTAGTACCACAGATATATGAGTAAGGGCTTCCCAACAGTGACAGAAACCCTGACGAAAATCATGTGGTTGATTCCTCCTTAGGGAGGAGAGAATGACGCAGGGCGGGATCTTAGTATGCATGAGGCTCAGACGGATAGTTCCCAATCAAATAAAAGAAAATCTTTCTTTATGAAATTAAAAAAAAAAAAAAAAAAATCAAAGCTGTTTTTCTATATATAATTTATTTGTTCCTTCATTCGTCGCTTCACACTCGAACAAATTAGTTTCAGGTTTATTTAAGTAAAGTATTTATTTAGGTCTAAATAACCAAATACTGGCCGATATTACCAGCTAACAGTTATCAGGAATCTTTTCTTTGCTTGTTTTTAGTAGAGATGCTAACCTAATTTTTCTTTTGTTTTTCTTTACGCTTTTCTCGTCTAAACACTTCTTCAGTGGTGTTTCTATTTGTCTTCGTAGAATTCTGCAGGTTGTTTATTGCACCAGGTCTAAACCTGCCTCTCAAACGTAGGCAGATGATAACATCTTTAAGGCTTTAACAGATTTAACATTTTTTTCAAACAACTTCAGGAAAACGTGATGTTTCCTCTATTTTCAAAATGGTTCAATTTTATGGCACAAAAACCTGACATAGATCAACACTTATTTAATGATGAAAGTGTCAGAAACGCCTGAGATTCGTCTCTTAGTGATTTTGTTTTTTAAATCAGTCAACTTTTGCCCTGTGAGCAAATCTTTTCCCCACAGCTCGTTGTAACTTTTTTTCATTGAATGTGTTTGTATGAATGTGTTGCAAAATTCTAGGATTAAGTGGATAATGGATGTTATTCACTGCTTCATAAGCAGCAAATTTTTCATTTGTTTGGACCTTTTATCTTTATGATTTATAGAATCTTCTATTGCAGGGAATGACATCGTAGAGAGAGTAGCTGTTGCGACATAAGAGTGTTGGGGGATGAGAGTTAGAATTCAGGGTAATTCCCACAAAAACCAGGGGGAAGGAGCATCAGCTTATTATTAGTATTCCACGGAGTTTTGTCTTGTCCGAACTTGAGCCAACTTTTTGTTCCCATGTAGTTTGTGAGCTACTTTTAAGTTGACCAGATTGAAAATTTTGTTTATTTTGTACAACCTCCAATAGCACAGAACAATATATGTATTGTCACTATGTTAGCGTTGCATTTACTTCTTTAATAACTCTAATGATTTGCCTGCATTAACTTTGTGATTGACAGGTTCATCACAGTCCACCTATTGGCCAAACCATGATGAAACACTTTCATCAAACCACAACTCTAACAAATTATACATTTAAGTAAATAATGCAGTATTACACATATTTTACGTTGTTGTTTGTCATATATTTTATACATTTGTTCGTCAGCAAAATTTCTGGAAACTTCCAGTCAATGTCTCCAAAGAAACCGAAACAAAAGGCAAGAGAGAACAGAGTAACAGAGTAACCACGTTTTTAATAAATGTTGAAAGTATTTATTGTTCCATGGAGAGCTCCTCTGAGAACATAAGCAACTTTTAGCCTGCAGAGACACAAACACTGCTGCTCGACAGCTGCCTCTGTGGAAATCACATTTTACATGGATTTCCTTTTGTCTGTCCACTGAAAGCTATGTTTTCATTTTCAGTGAGCTGAAAACACAGTGCTGGGACTTGTCAGTAAGAAAGTGGCTTTAGAAATGTGAACTTTACACTACATTACTCTCCTTTTAAAGTTTCCAAACCAGCCATTGCGTCTAAATGAACCTTGAAGAGCATTTTTGACGATAATCGCTCTCCAACACTGTTCTATTAAATCAACAAAATAAAGTCGACAATTAAAAAAAAAAAAAAAAATTAAAAAACCCCTAAAATTAAAAAAAAAAAAAAAAACTTCAAATTACCTCTAAACTTAAATAAGCAAGCAATTTCATAGTACCTTTCCTCTGCCGTCTGCTTATTATCCCCCTGAGAGAGAAGAGCTTGGAATTAGGCCAAGGAATGTGGGACTGAAAAAAGTGAAATACCGCAGCTCTAGCAAAGTGTGTCCTGCGTTTTTGTGGGAATTGGTGAAGCATGATTTTTCATCTGTGAAGGACTGAGGGCATTTAGTTGAGAGCTGCAGTAAACATGTGGACAGATGTTTATAGCAGTGTGGGAACATTTTAGTGCTGTGTATGTTGTGTTTGGATATTGTCTGACTAAACACAGTGTACACAGACGGAGACAGTGTTGTGTACGTTAGCATCACTTCACCTGTGAGCTGCCCATAAATGTACAAACTGTCTTTTACCAAAGTTTCACTCAGTAAAGACTGTTTACTGGAGTCAAAATATTGGATGTCGTCATCCTGTCACAACTCCAGGGTCTGTTTGGAGACAATTAAAACCAAACTGAGAAAAAAACACACACAAACAACAATTGTTTTGCCAAAGAAACCAAAGTATCCAAGAAGTCCCCTTAAACCTAGGCCCCTAATGTGCAGTTCATTTGTCAACACTAAAAGGCTTTAACGAGCCGCATGGTGAAGGAGTGGTTAGTGCTCTTGCCTTGGTTTGATTTTGGTCATTAACTGAACAGTCTTTTTTCTTTAGATGTTGCAAGTTCTCCTGATGTGTGCGTGAGTTTTCCTCAGGCTACTCTGAGGGAAAAAGAAAGAAAAAAAAAATGGAGGATGAGGTGAACAGAGACTCTAGATTAATGTTTGTTTCTCTGTAGATGTGGCTGTGATCGACTGATGAACTCCAACGTCCAGGTTGTACCGCCCTAACCTGTTGATTGTTGGGATTGCAACTAACCTGATCCTGCAGTGCTGAGAGGGATTAAACGGTAGGAGATGAATGAGTGATTAAATGAATCAATGAATAAAAGGAACAGCACTAAAATCCAGCTCTATTACTCACAGGTAAACATAGGTTTTAAAGTCAGGTAGCGTCATCGTTTACATGAACAAACCGCATTTCTATCCTGACTAATGTTTATTAATATGTATTAGAAAAATACATGATTTACTTAGCTGTCATCAATGACCAAAAACAGACCAAGATGAAAGCCTTGTGAAACATATAAACTGATTGTAAATGTAGACTAGACTAGATAAATATGTCTGACCTGATCTACTATTATCTAACCTGTCATAGAGCAGCACAATATTGTTGTGTTGTTATTATAATACAAAAACAAAGTTAGTGACTGTGCACATGTGATTTAAATCAGTGTCTGATTTAGGCGTGAGTGTCTATGGTTTTTGTAGATTAATTAATCAAACTGGCTCAAAAAAGGGAGCTTTTCCACCTCTGCTCTTGCGGCCCTAGAGAAGGTGCGGTGGCCCTTTAAAAATGGACCTCTCCATCGTTTTGAATGGGGGAGAACCGTCTGTCCAATGATATGTGACTTTACCAGGTAGTTTTCCAACAGACATGCTTGGATTTAAGGGAGACCATTTACAGAGTGTGTATTTATGCGTGTGAATAACGACCGCAGCTCTGTCTAAAGCATTGGCTTAGCATTTAGCCATGGTTTGCACCCCCCGCTCACAGCATCACTGTCAGGGCAGACGCTGAACTCCTGGCAGCCGCACAGGGTCAATGCAGCCAGGCGAACAGGAAGTGTCGTTTTTAACTTCAAAATAAAAGTCACAGCTGAGAAAATGAAATCCATGAGTTAATGGAACGAGACCGCTGTTTGTGTGAGAGACAGCCATTGACCACATCACGAGATTAACACCACACAACTGCTGGTAGTGTTTACCTCGATGTTACCTACAAGGTGATACAGAAATGCACTGATGGAATTTCTTAAAAGCCATTCTTTCTTTTTAAATAGAAATATATGGTTGATTGAATTTAAAAGTTCTCAATTAATTTAAATCATTATAATCTATGTTTATAAAGTAAGTGATTCGTAGATAGGCAGAGTGGGCCTGTCACAAAATGGCACATATATAATTATGAAGCATCAAGAAAATAAGTTGTTGTTAGGAGCCTTGTTACATAGTCTTGTCGCTGCAGCTTGAAATCGAGCGTCTCCGGCCCTTATTTTGAAATGTCTGACCGGAAATGCAGCCTTGTTGACGTAGAAAGTGACGGCGGTGCTGCTGGCTGGGAACAGGATGCTGTCAGGCCGAACATACGCACCGACCTAACGGAGAGAAACCGCAGCTGCTGTGGCAGCGGCATCCTTTGTTTTCTGGAGCCGGATTAGCAGGTAAGAAAAACAAACATCTACAGGAGATGTGGTTCACTCGTCTCTTTCCGTTTTACATAAATGAGAAACGTACGTTTGGGTAGACTATTTTATTCTCCTTGAATTGGCACTCCTGTCGAAAAAAAATGGCTATTGTGCGGTTTTCCTGTTAGACAGGCAGCAACGCTGGGGCCAGTGAATCAGAGGATACGAGGATGAAGCTCACACTGTGGCCGCTGCTCGGTTATATAAACAATGTAATGTCATGGAGCTGTGGTAAAGCGTGGACACCAAAGTGCTCTCTCCTTCAGAGGCTGCTGCTGTGGCGGAGAGGGTTTTCTATTTAACTGCACCACCGCAGGCGCTCTCTCACCTACGCAGGTGTAGTTATTGTCGGTGTGGTGTCATGTGGAGGAGAACAGCATCAACAACAGCATCAGCATCAACAACAGCAGCAGCCTTAACTGTCACTGCCTTTTCTCTGTAGTGCCATTGTGCCTCATCTTCTTTTTATTTTGCATCTTTCCTTTTTCTGGACACAAAGGGCGGTTACTCCAAAACATCTTTTGCAAGAAATATATACTTATAATAATATATATTAACAAAAGAATTTAAAACAAAATGCACAACAAAATCTATGCATAACTGATGTATAGGATTTGATGATTGTCACACGGTTGAATGGAATTTGGATTTATTATGGTTGCAAGAAATTGAGAATACATGTGCAGCCACTGTCAACAGACGGATCGATATTCTTTGAAATGTCAATGAAACTCATTCCTAAAAATCTGCATATCTGCTGATACCTTTACCAGTTCGATTCCCCTTTTCAGTCTCTCACATTCTTCACATTACACATACTTTATAAGAATGTACTTTGCACAATAAAGACATCTGTAAAATACCATGTTAGGATGTGCAATAAGTATTCCACTCCCCTAAAGGAAGGAATCAAATAGCCTACGATGTGACTGGAGTTATGCAATACTGCTGCTGCTGCTATTTATTTAAGCTTGAACAGGCATTAACAGCATCTACGACTGGTCGAACAATTTTTAAAAATCTGGATATCATAACAATTGGAGAGTGATTAAAAGAAGTAAACATAAATGATAAATAGTATCATGTCATTTATCTAAAAACGTCCTGTTGTAGAAATGTTTTTGTTTTTTTACCTGTAAAGAGGTTAGATAAACACTTTTTTTATTTTTTGTGTGAAGTACTTGCTTGTACTGCATTTTTTTCTGTCACATTCTTTCAGTTTCTTCCTTGTTTTTCTCACAGCTTCACTCTGTCACACGGCGTTAGTGAGTTGGCCGAGCTCCTTCTCACTGTTCCCATGACTTAACTTAAAAAAAAAAAAAAATGACTGAATGGATTTTTTCTCAGGGCATAAATTTGTGGCTCTGATTATATCACAGTTTTAGTATTTGTCCATTGTTTTCTATTAGATACTGCATTGCTGTGATTTTTGTGGAGGTCACTTTTGAATTTGTGGAATGTCATCACAAGGTGGATGGTGAGACCTGCAGTGTGGACCCCATGGAGTGGTCATCAGGATTAGAATAGTGCTGTATAAAGTGAAGCCCATTACATCATTTAATAGGTGACAAACACTGTTGTGTTGAGTCCTGACTGTGAAGACCACGGAGGAGGAGAGAAGAGAGATGCCTCAATACAACAACTCTTTAGACGCTATGTTAGCGTTACATAAGACAGATTATTTTTCTCTGAACATCTACACGACTGAGTGTAGCGGTTGAGAACATCTGCTCCGTACCACGTGGACTATATCACAGCTACTGGGGATGTACAGATTGGAATTGTTTTTTTTTTTGTTTTTGTTTTTTTGTCATATACAAAACTTAAATGATGCTTCGACACAAAATTGTCTCCTCATAGTAAGTTATTATGACACATTTCCAGCAAATGTGCTTATTTTACAGCACTTTTTATACATTTCAGTTGTAAAAGTGATTGCTGTTGAACTTCACACTCAGTTTGTATTCGTCTTAAATTGCTGTCCTGCTTAGCAAAGCTATGAATGTGTAGGAAGTTGGAGCAGGTGCTGCTTCTGACCCAGTTCTACAGTGAAGATATTCGACTGTCTTTATGGTTTGTGGTGTTGTTTCTGACTCTCACTCTGTTTCTCTGTTTTGCAGTGTTCACATCTGTGGTCACCTCAAGCAGCGGTCAAACGGCCGTAGAACGTGTACTACCCTTCAGCCTGTGCTTCCGCTAATGGCCTGTGGGAGCACTGAAATGCCCTCAGAGCTTTTCTCCTCTCATTATATCTCCGGTCACTGCTGTCTCTCTCCTTTGCCCAGACCTTAAAGTTCTACGTTGTTGAGATCACGGGAGGAGGACTGTCAAAGTCAGAGCTGCTCACCCAAATTCATCCTTCTGGCCGAGCAATGCAGTAGAACTTTGGGCTGCATTTCTTTCTACTCTACAGTCGGGCTCCTTTACATGGTCATTACAATGGCCATGAGGAGGGCTGAGTGCTTTGTCTCGTTATAAACTTTTGCCACCTCGTGTCTTCATGTTTTGGGAGTCCTCCGGTTCTTCCACCCTCTGTCAACCCCCCCACACCTGCTGCCACCACGGCCGGCCACCCCGCTCGCCTCGTTGCCATGCCGACAGAGACACTGGCTCCGGACTTGCAAGATAGCAAGGCTTCTGGCTCTGCGACGGCCTTTGGTTCTGCCGTGCCCCTGCGTATCCTTAACAAGGGCCCTGAATACTTCAGACGACAGGTATGTCCACGGAGTTCAGTCTGCACAGGTAGTACTTATTACAGATGTCTGCCAGTCAGAACCACATCAGGAACAGTCCAGTGGTTTTAACTGTCTCTGTTCTTTAGAGCCAGAGGTTTAGTCTCACAAAGGTGGTTGACTTTAAACTCGTCTCCATCACCATGGTAACCTATCCTTGGCTCGTAACTTGCTCAAAAATTCATTTTTTGTCAGCTGAGGGGGCCTCGCCTCCTCTCTGATCATCTCCCCTCCCACGGGCTTTATTATTTTAGGCATATCTGTAGAGCAGAGGTGGGCACGTTTGACAGAGTAGCCAAGGTACTACAGTACCTCACCATCTCCTCTGACAGAACCACACGCTACATAAATAACTTTGACCTGACTTCTCCATGTTCTCCTCCATGTTGTGCTGTCTGCCAACCTGTCAGAGTGTCGCTACATTTTTTTAGCTTCTGTGTCGTGTTGTTAGGAACTCACATCTAGCCACAATAGAAAACCTACATTTGTTAAAAGTGTGAAATTGACATGATTTCCTGTTTACCTGAGAGAGAGTAGTGAACGATAATAATAATTTTTTTAAAAAAACTGTACTTACTGTCTTCTATTCTACCTGTGCATCATTATGGAAGGGTTTAATGCAGAAGCAGATGAAGTGAAGGAATTGACTAAACGCAGAAGTAAATTGTTGCCAAAGTCCACCCTCTAGTGGTTCAACTGAAAAGCTTCATAATGCAGGATAAAGGCTAAATGAATGCAGTTTACTAGAAATGTGGACAGTATTGACCCAATATTTGTTTGGTTAAATATCTGGCTCACTGGCCATAGTTTGCCCATGTCTGTGTGAGAGCCAGGTCCAATTGTCTGGTGTCAGAATTGCCTACACCAGGAATGTATATTGATGATAATGTGTTTGTTACATGTCTCAGGTGGAACCCAACCCCAAGCGCCTTAGTGCAGTGGAGCGTTTGGAAGCTGACAAAGCCAAATACGTCAAGAGCCAGGAAGTTATCAACGCCAAGCAGGAGCCCATCAAACCACCTGTGCTGGTCAAGCCTGCCGTCTGCCACACCCTGCTCTCCAAGAGAGGCTCAGGGATTAGTGGTGGTGGAAATGGAGGTGGGATAACGTTTAAAGCATCCAATAACAACGCCAAGTCAGACAAATGTGGGACTAGCAGCAGCAGCAAATGGGAGAATTTAAACCTTGAGATTTTGAAAAATCTGCTGAACTCATCGTCCTCTTCCGGAGCAGGATCTGAAGGACTAGGAGGCGGAGCTAAGAGTGCTGTGATGAGGTCATCAGGTGCAATGACCAGAAGCTGGGCATCCTCGGGGTAAAGTCATGTGCTATATTTACCTAAAGCTGTGTCTTAATTCATGGACTGCAGTCAGCGGTACCACCATGATCACAAACATTAATGACCGAATGTTTAATATTGCACGCACAGAATTCTGGGAAATTTTGGTCTGTGTATTATCTGTATTTAACGGCTAATGACATTCTGCCGGTGCCAAATTGGAACAGGTCTTAGTCGGGGCAGATACAGATGCAACCCTCGAAATGAGACACAGTTACTGTTTTCCCTGCAGTTGTTGCTGCTAACACTAGCAGACTCCAACACCAACATAAGGTCCTCCTGGTTTATCCCCCGTCATACCTCAGGGTTAATGTTAGAGCGACTAAAGCTGCTTAACAAATGAGCTGAGCTGTAGGTTGTCAGCTGACCTGAGGACGTCGCTCACATTTAAATCTGTTTCTCACTCACATCAGACACCAAACAGGCAGGAAGGTCTGCACAGTGGCCCAATGACAGTAGCCTCACAGTACGAGCACCAAAGGTGTGTGTGCGTCCATGCTTGAGCAGGTGGCCTCATGTGCAGCTTGCATGGTCTCGCCATCTGCTGGTGGGTTACCTGCAGTGAATAGGCCGAGGTGTGAATGTACATTAGAGCGTTGTCTGTCGGTACATGTGGACTTGGCATTGACCCGCCAACACTTGCCGAGTTGTACCCAACCTTTGACTCTGTGGCAGCTGCGAACAATCGGTAGGTAGGTGTAGCACAGGACGCAGTAGTTAACGACAGGATTACTCATTAGTCACTTGTGTTACTATCAGAACACCCATCTTCACGTCCGTGTGGGTGTGGCATCTGTCCCAGACTGCAGTGCACCAACAGACGTAGGTGACGTTTTAGATTTCTCCTGTTTTTGCTCCAGTGGGAACATGTCAGTGTTTGGTTGGTCGCTTTCTACAAAATGTATTTTTAAAAAGTAGTATTTGACGTACAATACAGTTTCAAGACATTCTGAGTGATGTGATGTCACCACTCTGAACACACACACACAGGCGTACACACACACTACATCGTATTTACTGTTATGACCTTTTTATTCTCCTGCTCAGGTGAATAAATGGTTTTACGTTCTGTAAAACTCTTGAATTGAGACACGTTTTTATTCACAGCGTAAAACATTCCACCCTGTAGTAGTGGCTCTGCTGAATACACACACAGATTGATGGAGTTTTGCTGCATTATGTAGAATCCTGGACCCTGACGTATGCGCTCCTTGAGACGTTTGGTCGGACAAACATCAGTGCTGTTGTCTTTCAGTGACTGATGGTTGAGCTGTGTTTAGAAAACACACAGCTGGAGTTTGAAGTATCTGCGTCAGACGGTGTGAGGCAACATAGTCAGAAGTTGAAACAAACAGATGCACAAAGTTTAGATGGACCAGATGGTGGTCAGCAGCGTTTTCATTTATTTATTTATTTATTTTATCAGCTGGCTGATCGACAGGCTGCTGCTGACAGAGGTTTTTGGAATGATGCTCAGTCTTAGTGCTGAAACATATTGGTCCAAAAATCACATTAATCCACATTATGAAAAGGCACATGTGTCAGGATGAGGATTTCATAAAGGAACCAGACTGGAGAGAGTTTTAACAAGTTGTTGTTACTAGTAAAGTAGTCATTCTCTCATTATATGTCTTCTTAACTAATATAATGTCTAGAGAAAAAAACATTAGATGTTTTTAAGCTCATTGTTTTTTAATCTACTTATTTCTCCTCTTTTTTGTTCCCAGGATACCGTTAACGTACAGATCTACAATCACACTAAATGAACAGCCACCAGACCTGGCCCCCAGTCCCTGCACCTCACACTCCCTACGCTCCTTCTCCCACTCCCTAAAGGTCCTTCCTATCACCAGCGGGGGGCGTCACAGTCCACAACAGTTAGAAAACCTCAATCTCAGCAGACGTGTCCTGGATGAGGGACGAGTCGGCGATCGCTCTCGTTCTCCGCCACTGCTGCCCCTCAACTCCCACTCCTCCTCCGATCTCCTGCGGCTGTGCAACGGCAAACCCCTGCGCAGCGCTCGGTCCAGCAGTTCTTCAGCTCCACCCCTCCCTCCAAAACCTAAGTCGGCTTCTCTGCCTCCTCCTGCACTTTCTTTGTCATTGCCTCCTTCTCGACCAACTCTCTCCCCCCTAGCCTCCGACAACACGCCGCAGTCCTTATCGTCTGATTGTGAAAACCCTCCCCACCCCCCGGCCGATTCTAATCAGGAGCCGGAGCTCGGCTCGTCTGTGGCTCGTCGCTCCTCGCTGCACAGATCAAAGTCAGACCTGTCAGACCGTTACGCCCGCGCCGGGGCCGATGTGGAACGCTTTTTTAACTACTGCGGCCTTGACCCTGAGGAGCTCGAGGCAGTGACCCCAGAAAACTTTGCGAGGGCCAACTCGGACATTGTTAGCCTGAACTTCCGATCGGCCTCCATCATCTCCTCCGAGTGCGACCAGTCGCGGCGCTCCTCTAACGACGGGCTCTCAAACGGGGACGATGCTGAGGACGAGGAGGAGGGCGGAGAGCGCGTGCCTTACGGCATCTCGGCGGTGGAGCGAAACGCCCGAGTCATCAAGTGGCTGTACAGCATCAAACAGGCGAGAGAAACACAGAAAGTCTCCCACGTCTAGGAAACAGCTGCACAGCTCTGGAAATGGACACAAATTCACTACGTTTTGAGACTGAACATGATGCTGAACTGACATTTTATTGAAAAACTGTTGAAGATGGACAGAGGTGTGGTAGGTCTGACCAGGTGAAATGTAAAAACAAATGATTTAAGCTGAGAAAAGTTATTTTAAGAAATAAGGACGAGGACTTTTCTGCTAAGAGATGATGAACTACACTAAAAACACACGCAGAGGAACAGGGAAGAGAGGAATATGAACGTTATATTCAGTCTGGAGAAACAATGTAAATGACCTTAAAGGTTAAACAAACACACAGTTTCAACCTATAAATAGAACATTTGTTTGTTCAAAGAACAAAAAAAAACTGCTTACAAACCCATAAAAAACACCACATCACCACCAATCAGCTTTGACTTTTAAATCATTTCTGTGTTTTGTTTGAAACACAGACACCACATCCTCACTAGATGATGCCACTACTTCAAAGCCTCTAAAATGAGACTCCAAATACACAATTTATTGTTTTTTACCTATTTTGGTATTTTCTACATTTCCATTTCCAGTTGTGTTTACGTACAACATTCCACAATAATAATCATAATAAGAATTCATAGTTACAAATGATCAAAAAAGATTTGAGATGGATTTTTTTGTTTTGTTTTTCTTTTTGCCTCAGTTTACAGTATAAGACGTTAAGTTTAGAAAATGTATTTTTCTTCCTGTGAACTGCCATCGTCTGCTCTCTCCACAAATGTCTTCAAGGTCCGTGGACAACAATCAGCTTTTTTTTTGTACTAAAGCAAGAATAATTTGTACATGTTTCCTCGTGCAGAGAACAAAACAGAGAGTGTGATTGTTATTAATACGACTCTTTACGTTCTCCAAATGCTGACGAAGAACGACGTGCATCCCTTTAAGTTCTCTGGGAAAGACCTTGTCCTTTTAGTGTGTGAAGGTTCTGAAGACCCCAGCAGCTTCAGTAAACAGTCCTCAGACCGTTAGAACTCAGTTCCATTTAAACTTTAGCTTGACAAATCGTTAGTTATTTGAATAAGTCGTTCAGGAAGATGCACAAAACTCCAGCTTGGCTAAAAATAAATTGTGATGCAGTTGTGACAAACATCTTCACCTGGTGTACAGTAGGTGTCACTGTTTCTTGTCTAATTCCCAACCTGTGGGTGCCGTACTGGCACAGGGCCATGGGTCAAAATAATTCATTTTACTTTTTCTTTTTTTTTGATTGAATAGACTAAGTGATACATCATAAAAAAGCTCACTGTGTGGTGAACATTTATTATAGAAAAAAGTGGTGAAAGAGTGACTTTAAAATGGGACAAAGTCCTGTAATGAGACAAAGAACAAGAGTCGTCTATATTTCATAAACCCACCAGGCCCGCTCTGCTTTTATAATTTGTTTTTATATCAGTTGTATCTTTTTTTACCTCTTTGTTTGCTACAACTTGAAGTCTGTCGGTCTGTTTTGAACCTCTGCTCCGAGGTTAAACTGTGAATAGGTGTTTCCACTCTGACTGGGTTTGTTTTGTTTATTTGCATGAGTAAGATGGTAGAGCTGGAGTCTCCGTTGAATGAACGTGATGCTGTGGAACAATATAATAGAGACCAAACTCCATCTGACAAGAACTAGAAAGGTAGTGATGCTGATTCACTGTGTGGTCATTATGACGTCAGCAGGTTTAGCACCGTTCTTCTTACTTAGACTCATTGATAAAGCTGTTTGCAACGATGTGGCAAAAAACTCCATGAAACCCAAATGTGACAATTGGAGGCGTGTGTGTGTTTGGTCTGTGGAGCTGTACGGTCATGAAAACATCATGGTCGGACTAAAGAGTGTGTGTTTCCTGTGATAAACACTTTGTTAGTCCATTTCAGTCTCCTCTAAAACATCTGTCAGACATTTCTGGAGCAGTTCCTGTAGACCAGAGGTCTCCAACCACTGGGTTGTGGGTCAGTGCTGGGCCGTTGGTCATTTGTTACCTGGCTACCACGAATAAGTAACACATTTTTTTTGTATTTTATTGAACATGACCAAATTGTTTTTGTTCAAACCTCTGACTAATTTCCCTCTTAATTCCAGACCCAGGTCAAAATCAAACTCTTTCTGTGTAATATGTGCTGTTCAGTATTATGTTGGGTTTTACCTTTAAGCACTTTATACTTGTGTTCTATTGTATTATTTTATTTTCCCACCCAAACATGGGCCACAATATTGTGGAACCTAGAACCGGTCCGTTGTGCAGAGGCGGTTGGAGACCTTTACCACATACAGTAGATACAGGAAGTCATTATTCCTGTTTAGTTACAGATGTGGAGCAGCAGTGGGTTTATTTCTAGCCACCCTGCTGTTAAATAAAAAAAAGTCATTATTAAAGATGTGCCAAATATTATAGGAATTGTATTTCTCTGCCTGTGCTACTATTTAAAAGTTTAACTTTTGGTTTAAAAAAGTATGCCAAGCAGACAAACATTTCTATGACAACTTGAAAAACAATCATAATTTACTGAAATAACAAATCTGTTTCTCTTGAATATTCTGTGTTTCCATCACAGAATCCCTTCTTTACACTAGGTCCCAAACTGAAAACTGGATTTTTTTAAAAAAGTGACAGTCCTTGCAGGGGAATTTGATTTAAGCATCATCAGTTACAAGTCCTCAACATGATAACAGTGAGGACACAGGGCCGGGATAAAAAGTGACAGGGAATTTGATTTGAGCATCATCAGTTACAAGTCCTCAACGTGATAACAGTGAGGACACAGGGCCGGGAAGAAGAGGTTTCATCAGCTTCTCTCTGTCTGACATCAAACTCTTCAGAAATACAGAAGTCACACACCCTCAGGATCAGAGCGTTCATTAAGACAACAGTGTTGTTGCAGCATTGTCATTCTCCACTGACTAAATCCATATAGTTTGTGTGTGTTTGCATGTGTGTTGGACTTGGTTTGATAGATGGAGTTCTTCTGTTGCACTTTGTTTTATTTCTGCCCTCCTCTGTGTGTACACGTGGTAAGACGATGTAAAATAAGCTGTGTTCCATTTCAGTTTCTTCTGTCTGAAGGTTCATGTTTACAGAAGATTGTGCAGACTGTTCTACCCCAGCGTTGTTTAAGAGACATGGTGTTGATTGTGTTTAAAACATAAAAACTATGATTTTTTTTTGTATTGTTAAAAAACAAAAAAATACAACCAAAACATGTTTGTGGTAAGTTTATTTTGCATTATTTCAATAAATGTCCTGTTTGCCATCTTTTAATGCCTGTGTTTTTTATCTGTTGATTGATACTTTATTGGGTAAAACAGTAATTTAAGAATCACACACTCATTTATTGTAGTATTCATTCATTTTCTTCCAAGACTTATTTTTCTCAGGGCTGCAGGAACGAGGCGGGGCCAAATCTTGGCAGTCGTCAGAAAACCACATGTATAGACAAACACATTAACATTCACACATTTGTGTTTTTGGACAATGGTAAAAAAACCCATTGTCGAGCCACTCCTTTATTATTTCAAACTGTTCTTTTGAAAACAATATTTTTTTCACCACATTGTCTTTATTGTCTAATCTTCACTGCGTTCCGCTCCTGCCATAATGTAACAAAACGTAATCTTTCTAGAAATCTGATTCGCCTGTGTGCCACTAGAGAGAGCTCAAGGACTACTAGTGTATATACGTTTCCCACAATGCACGCCTCCTACCTCTTACGTCATATCATTGCGCCACAGCAGTGCCATTAGCACAAAAGCTAAAAACAGCTAACCGGAACATACACAACATGTCTCTGACGGTTTGGATGTTTTCTTATTTTTCCGTGTCGGACGACAAAACTGTTGCAATTTACATGTCGACCAACATTTCCTGAGCGGAAGGTTTAGTTTCAGCACGAAACATTTATTTCGTAGTTTCAAAGTTCGCCGTCGGAGTGAAGTTGTTTCGTGTATGAAGTGAGTATGGATGCACTTTGTTCCGTGTATGAAGTGAGTATGGATGCACTTACCCAATTTCATCATATTTACACCAAACATTAACGAAATACGTTTGGAAAAGTAAAATGTGAGTGAGTTGTCTTGTTTGTTTTAATCTTGTTCGGTGGACTCAACAAGCTGTGTCTCAATTGTTAAGGTGAACACAGACAATGCCTCATTTTTACCCAGCGGTACAGTAGATTGTGTCATAGTTAGCCTGCATAAATGGTTTAGTTCTATGATAAGTCCTGCATTGTTGCACCTTCCACCCCTATTTTGTGTGTTGGTGGGTGAATGTGGTACACTTGACATTTAAAACAATTAATTAATACAATTGTTTTATGGAAATCAGATGAGTCTGTGCATGCAAGAGGAGACCTTCCATCACTGCTGTCAACACCTTCTACAGCTATCACAGCAGCTGAGAGATGGATGGAGCTGGGAGTCTGCCCAGGTGGGTCTAGGCAATTTGTGTAGCTTGATGTTGCAAAAAAAAAAATTCCTCAAATGTCTTTACAGTTTTTACAATGTGTCTGTCAGAAATAATTTTTCTTATTTCGATGGGCTATAGCAAATCTATCTATGTATTCTATTAATTTAATAAATATTTTTTCTTATGGATAAATGTTGAAACACTGTACATTTATGAAACAATTATGTTCCTAATGATTTTTATTGTGTTTTGAGGTCAGGGTTGTCTGGAGGGTTACTTGAAGAAGACTGTTGTCAGGTCAGCTGTCATTAAATCAAACCATGTCTGGGACAAGACAGAAACTACTTCAGACTCTGCATCACACACTTCCTGTCATCCACATCCTAA